CAACTAAAATCTATGGTTACTGTTTTATGGATGCACCGACTTAACGGTGATGGCTTATGGATTTGTATCATTGTATAAATTGTATCTTGGAGATACAGATTTGTAAAGTACAGCTCTAATCAAGCTGGAAAATTTTTATGGACCTAATGTGACTCTTAGGTAGGCTCTGCGGCCCTGAGATCATTCTCGGGTAGGCCCTGCGGCCCTAAGATGTGTTATTAGGTAGGTCCCACGACCCCGAAATCTATCTTGGGTAGGCTCTCAGGCCCTAAGATGTTCCCTTAGGTTAACTCTTTGTAAGATGGTTTTAAAATACGAGTTTAAAAAGCTCCATTACAGTATGGTTTATGGAATTTTACTAAACTATCATTTAATTAGTGTACCTATTATGGTTTTATCGTACTGATGGAACACACTAGGCATCCTATTCGACCTCATGAAAACGTGATAGTGTGAAAGGTTTCTTATGAACTGAGATTCATGACTTCTACTCGATGAACTTCTAAGGGAACCCCAGATTATTCCGTCCTCTGGTATACGTATGATTCAATAAGGAAATTATGGTTTCCCATTTATCTGCATGTCATATAGCATCATCTGGTAGTTCTGTATTACTGAGCTTTCCGAAGCTCACTCTATTACTCAACATTGCAAGTTAAAAGAATTGTACCAGTGCAGCTATTGACATTAGTAAGGGAGTACTTCCGGCGTTGTTGCAGAGTATAGTACATGTGATTAGGGGGAATGTAATTGTATTTTGATTTATATACGAGTCTGGAAATTTGTTTTATTTCTGCATACTGATAAATCATTTTATAAGTTACATATTTTAATAAAAGTTTTAAATTTTCCGTCATTTTTACAGTGGGTCGCTCCAGTGGCCCTAATGTGACACCCGGATCGGATCGAGCTATCCGCATCGGTATGAGGGGTTACACCTTCCATTCATTACCATTGCTTAATAAATAATCATCTCTTCTCATTTGGTGTATGGGTTCCGCTATAATAATCGGTTTGCTGTTTGTCTTTTTTTTTCTTCATCTGTGTTATCTTCTCGGTGGCAAAACCAAAAATCTCGACACTATATATTGCCTCTTGCCAAGGAATATTATAATTTTATATCTAATCGTTATGAATCTTTGATTTTTACTTAAAAATATATTGCAAATAAATAAAAACATAAAATACACCAATGGTCCCTAAATTATTGTTTTAATTATTGAAGTTTCAAAATTTACATAATGGTCATTAAATTTATTAACATGTTATAAAATGATTTTATGATGTTCTATTAATAATCAAATTTGATAAATTTAATGATCATTTTGTAATAATTTGATAAAACTTAATTATCATTTTATAACAATTTAATGATTATTTTAAACATTTTGATAATCATCTTATAATAGTTTGATAAATTTAATGATTGTTTAATAACTTTTGAAAGTCTAGTGATCAAAACAATCATTTGATAATCTTTTCAGGATCTATAGTGTATTTTACCCATAAAAATTACACACTGTATTTACCCCTAATTTTTATGATCAATATAATATTTTAACAACTAGACCATAATATTACAATTTTTAATATTATGGATCAATAATGAAATTGAAAATTTTAAACCATAGCTCCTGATGTTGAAAGCCCAATTATGGTAGAGGAAGAAAGAGGAAGGGGGTGATCAAAGGATGAAGGAGATGCTGAAATAAATATGAAGAATGAACTTAATGTATATGAATAAGAATTCCAAAAACAGCCAACACTTTATTCCCAATACAGAGGAAGGTAAATTGTCAATAACATGTACACACCCATCCTAATATCATAACATGTACGCTATACCTAAAATGGAAGTATAGTCCCTCAAATCTCTTTCTGAGATAACCCAACCAGACTGTTTTTTGTACATCTCATCGAAAGCTTCATTGAAAGTCTTCAGCCTTTTCTTTACGAGATCACGAGCAGTGGCACGGCCACCTGAGAACAGAATTAACCCTTCACGGCTTAAATGACCAGGGAGCTTACCCCGGCTTTCTCTTAAGAAGACAGCGGCATAATAATCCTTGTACTGTTCAAGTTCTTTCAACCAAGCATCTCCCATGAGCTCTCCAATTTTTGTTCCCTTTAAGTGTTTGTATAGATGCCAGTGGCAGTTCATGGCAAAAACACAGGACAGCGTAGCATCGCCATACACCTTCACCCATGTTTCCAAATTATTTACGCTTCCATCTTTGGTGAATGACAAGAACTTGGGTCAGGATTGGCCTATACTCGGCGCTGAGGAGTTTATTGCAGTATTCAGTTATGAAACACACCAATTTTGGAATGCTCCCATCCCGAGGAGGAGGGATCTGCCTCTGTAATTCCACCTGAACAAAGATTTCCCAGAAAATTTCGGCTGCACCTTCAATAACACTCTTGATGAGATCTCTTGTCAGGTTTTGGATCTCAATACATGCTGCTCCCCCAAAGAGTCTGTTGAAATCCAATCTCAATTTGTTCAAAGATGCAAATGTATCCAATAACTCGAGAAGCTTCAAAGGTTCTTTCTTGCTTTCCGTACTAGTCTTCCCAAACTGAAGAAAAGCAAGAATACCAGCTTGTGCGGTTATTTTTGCAAAACATCCCATCCAAACATCCAGGCAAATTCTCTCGAAAACATCATTACAAAGTCTGAACTCTGCCTCGAATAAATGCTTTGCTGGAACTCCAAATGTTTTCTGTCCTATATACCCTTCTATGCTCTGCACGTCACTGAACTCCGATACTGGATCTCAAGATGATCCAAATCAAGTGCCTTCAAGCTAGCTCTGACGTTTGAACTGCGAACTTCAACGTAGATTGTAATGCACGTCTCGAGCCTATTGTTAGCAATCAGCCTACCAAGAATTGCTTGGAACTTCTGAATAACAGTCACCGGTAAGGGCGACGGTGCAGTGCATGCCTGTTCGCCTAGTGATGATGATGACATCAAAAGTGGCACACTATGATCCATCAATAGTCTTCTAAACTCATTTTCCAGTTCATCCCATGCAGCATCTAAAAGCCCCCCATCAAGATGTATTATTTCGCCATCATTTTGAAACTCCATCAGGACTCGAGAGAGGCAGGTTGTACCGGCGAGCTGAGCTGGAAGGAGAGAGTTGGAACGGAATCTGAATTGGTGAGTTTTGGATTCAAATAAGGTAGACAACACTTTTAAATTTGTCCTTTTTTAACTTCAGTTTGTGCATTGAAGAAAGCGCAGTCGATCGTTGGCCAAGAGAACCGTTAGATTCATTTAAATAAGGCTCGGTTTATTTATGCGCGTTTATTATGTTAAAAATGAATATAGTTAATATTTTTCTGTTTATTTAATAAATAAATAAATATGAGTAGGAATGTATTCGGTTCATTTATATTCACGAAAAAACTCGTTTAACGATTTGTTTATTTTATGTTCATGAACTAGCTCATTAATGACTCGTTTAAATTTTTATATTTTAAATATTGATAAATATAGGAATTAGATTAAACAAATGGTAAAGTTTAGAGTTCATTAACGTTTAAATTTTTATATTTTAAATATTGATAAAAATAGGAATTAAATTAAACACATGGTAAAATTTAGAGTTTAAATTATAAACTTTAAGAATTTTAAGCACTAATGGCATAATTTTGTTATTTTTTAGTTTGCAAATGAATATATACACAAACATTACTAATGCTAAACGAAGATATAAATAAACGCTAAATGAACATATTCGTGAACGTTAAAGAAAATGTTCTTGAACGCTAAATGAACAAACATGAACACATTAAAAATAAATAAAACGAACAATATATTAAAAATTTAAATGAACATGAACCGAACATGAGAACCTTTAAAAATCAACAAACGAATACGAACATAATTTTATTTATTTAAACTCGATTCATTTACACCATTGATCATACAAGTTTTACATTTTTAAAATAAAACATTTACTTTTAATTATTCAATCAATTTACATCATATTATTAATATATAAATATTAAATTGATGAAATAATTTTATACACACGTCTAATATTCTTGGTACTATGATCATTTTATTGTCAATTAAGACTTTATCGGTCAAAAATAAAATGTAAAATATATTCAGTTTTCAAGTTATTTTTCTTAAAGTGAATATAATATAATATTTGTTCAAAAACTTTCAATCATTTAACATTAAATGTTCGTGCATCTTTGTATATATGGTGCTTGAACCCAAGATCCTAAGAAATAATGACAATTCTTTTACTATTGAGGTCACTTAATTCGTACTAGATCGTTTAAATTTTAAAAAATAATTAAATTAATCTATTCTTAATTTGTCTTGTGAGATAAGATATTAAATCATTTAATTAATATTAAAAAGTTTGAATTTTGATATGGAAAATAAAATAATCTAAATTAAAAGATCATCTCATAATAAGGTTTTGTAATATTCAATCTATATTAATCTATAAGAAAAATTATATATATATATATATATATATATATATATATATATATATATATATATATATATATATATATATATATATATATGGAAAACCCAACTTCTTTTATTACTTTATATATATATATATATGTATGGAAAACCCAACTTCTTTTATTACTTTCAAATTTGAATATTTAGTTATTTTAATAACACGATACTTTGAGGTCGTGACGTATATCATTCTCTCATAACATCACATCATCAAAAGGACTAAAAAATTCAGTTAAGAGACTAACGTGGAAGAAACAAAGTAAAGAGACCATATTGGAAAAAATGAAAATTTCAAGGGTAAAATGTTTCTTTATGTCGTGTACACCGGCAAGGATCCAGTTTCAAGTGCTATTTCCTGGTGGGCTGAGCATATTCTGCACGGAGAGGATGGATCCAATTTTGTTTTGGACTGGATCTGAAGTTATCAAATGGACCCTCAAGAATCTGGAGCTATTATAAAATGGTTCTTAGAGAGGAAGGGCAGTAGTCATTGAATAGAATTCACGAAACAAACTTCATAAGAAACAAAAATCCGAAGCAGCTGATTCCGCCACTACTACTGATTTGCGCAACTTCACAAGGTTCAGCTTCAGATCTCTCTCTCTGAATATTATTAGAAATTGCAATTTATTTTTTCCAGCTGATTATTCTTTTGCGGTTTATTTTATTTTCCCTCCTCAGTCAGGATATAGTTTCCTTGTTTCCTCCCTTTAAAAAAAAACCCTATGGGATTACCCTACGGTTAGTTTGTTCGGTGTTCAAATCAAACTTGAATAATAATGTGAGATTTGTTTCATAGGTTTCTTTTGAACTCCCCCCAAATAAAAAAGCAATGTCTCGCGTGTACGTGGGTAACCTAGACCCACGAGTCTCGGAGCGGGATCTTGAAGACGAGTTTCGTGTATTTGGAGCTATTCGGGGGTATTTTTTTTTCTCCTCCGTTGTTAACATGTGTCTCTGTATTTTAAGCATGATTCTGTATTTTAACCTAGACCCTTCATTTGTTTTTCCAGTGTATGGGTTGCCCGGAGGCCACCGGGATATGCTTTCATCGACTTTGATGATCACAGAGACGCTGAGGATGCCATTCGTGGATTAGATGGTATTTTCCAACAATGTTTTCTTGTTTTTTATTTATTTATTATGCCACTTGTTGCATACTAAATGTTTTGTCTAGTTAGCTTTGATTCCTCTCTCTTTGTAAACCAAAGATGCAATACTAGAGAATGTCCTGGTCAGGTTAGGAGCTAGCTCATTTGTTAATGGGCTGTTCTTTCCTTGTTAAGATTTATGATGAAAATCATGGTTTTGTTATACGTATAGCCTTTGGGGTTTCTACTTCTTCAACCAGATATACCTTTATGAACTTGCTTTCTCCATGTCCACAGCTGCATGTCTATTTGTTGGGGAAGTTCGGTTATGCTGTTAGGTCAGAACTTCCAATATTGCCCACATTTGCTAATAACATGGATCATATTTACAACGGGTGCCTCTCTCCTTTTGATTTTATTATCCTATATGATTTGTATTTCTATTGTTTTTGACTGAAAAGTGTAAAGCTTTTTGGGCAAGAATGTAGTGTTTATCACTTTCATCCATCTAGAAGCAAGTACCTATTTTCTTTTTCTTTATGGAATCTTTATTGAGCATGTGTTTGTCATTTGAGACTTGCAACCTATTTTGGAACAGGCAAGAATAGCTGGAGAGTTGAGCTTTCTCATAATTCTAGAGGCAGAGGTGGTGGCCGTGGAGGTGGTGGTGGCCGTGAAGGTGGTGGTGGAGGTGGCCGTGGACGCTCTGGCGGTTCTGATTTGAAGTGCTATGAGTGTGGTGAGCCTGGTCATTTTGCTCGAGAATGTCGCTCGCGTGGCAGTTCAGGAAGACGTCGCAGCCGCAGCCCTAGGTATCGTAGGAGTCCAAGCTATGGGCGCAGGTAAGGCCTCCTGAGCTAACATTGGTAATCTTTGTGATTGATTGAAGTTTGTAATCTGTATGTGATTGGATGACACTTAGCAACCTGATGTAGAAGTTACAGTCCTCATGGACAATCCCCAAGACGCCGTAGTCTCTCCCCTCGTGGACGTAACATCAGCAAGTCTCCCCAATACCATAGCCGTGAGGAATTGCCGTATGCTAATGGGTGAAGATCCTTGAACTTGATATTAGTTGCTTAAAAAGCCTTCTTTTTCTCCAATTAAGATTTTGTCATCCTTCCTCTGTCCTATACATTTATTTGATCATTCTCACAGCTACACTTATTATACTTTTGTGTTTATACCATTTTGTTTTATGATATATGAATTAAATATTTCTACTGAATTTGGTGCAGAAATGGTGTAAGAGAGCGCCATCGGAGCAGGAGCTAAGTGCCAAGGGGATGCAGCTTTTATGTGAGGAGACTTGGATTTTGTGTGTTTAGTTTGTTTGGACTTCAGTGCTACCGTTTTTAATTGGGCAATGCCCTCTGCCTCTTGGATTTGGATAAGTTCGTTTCCGTTTTTCTATATTCTATGTTGGTTTTCTTTACTTTGTCTACGCTTTATGGTCCTTTCTGCACATTAAAGAAGAGGTTTAAGATGACGTCTATAAATTTTGTTGGTAAATGATTTCAGGAACTCTGCTAAAATTTCATGCTTTTCTTTTTCCCTTTGTGTTGAGGTGTTTTCTGGGTCTGCCTCAGTGCTTTTCTGCTTCTACAGTGCTGGCCGGCTATGGGATCTTCAATACTAGATGATTGTGGGTCCCATTTGGCATCATCTCTAGTCTCTACTTGGCTATTTGCTACTGTTTGAACGAAACTATCTCTCCGGTTGTGATGCAACCTCACTCAAACTCGAGTGGCGTCTCTTTACTTTTATCCTAAAGGGGATTTGAGGGTCTGCTTCATATTGCTTCTCTGGCAGGTACTCATGTTTGTCCTACAGAAGTTGGTATTTTAGGGTCCTTGAAACATCTAATTCCTTTGCAAAGAAGAGGCAACAAAAAGATTTAGAAGTATACTTTCTGCGTTTTCAATGTGTTTTTGATCATTCAATTGACAAGGTTTTTGAAAGCTGGGATGCTGAGCTTGCCAATCTTCATAGTTTCTAGCTGTCTGCATCTGCATCTAGATGACGAAAAGAGTCTGTTTTTGAGACATCCATTCTTTTTAAACTTAAATCGGGGATTTTTGGAATGGATTGTTTTTAAGGTGCAGAACTTGATTAACTCCGACGATTATCGTCACGGGTTAATCACAATTATTTATAGAATTGGCTGCAAAAACGGAAGTATAGTTGAAATGAATTGCCACTTCGCTTTGGTCTGGAACCGAGTATGAGCTTGTCTAGTAGTTGACTATGGTCATTGACATTAGGTACTTAATCTCTCATTGGTTTCTTGAGTCTGTTTGCTACATGTGAGATGATTATGATGCTCCAATGTTTCATCATTGGATTTATTAAACACTATGAATAAAAAGTTTTTAAGGGGCACCGTTAGATTGGCTATTCTTTTAACTCTTTTTTGTGTGAAAAAGTCCTACAGATGATCATTTAATTATGTTAGAATAATCTTTTTGGTCATTAAATTTTGTAGGGTTATAAATTGTTTTTAATCTTTTTTAATAAAACGGTCATTAGATTTTATCAAACTATTATAAAAAGATCATTAAATTTTATTAAATTGTTTTAAAACATTTTGGATAGAGTATACAAATGGTCCTATGATTGTACTATACTATTTTGTTGAGTCATTGTTATTAAAATATACAAAATGGTCTCTTGATTATAAAGAGTTATTTGTTGAGTTTTTCGATTATTAAAATTTATAAAATGATCATCTGATTATTCATTATGTCTTAAACTCATCATTTTTGTTAAAAAAATTAATGATTGTCTGAGATGGTATTAATATGTTGATTGAGATGTGATCTTATAATATTAAGCAACTATTATATTTCTGTCAGCATATTGATGTTCATTTCAAATTGTAGTTAATTTTTTAATAAAAAAAGACGAGTTTGGAATACAATGAATAATTTTATTATCATTTTGTATTTTTTAATAGTTGAGAATTCAACAAAGCAGTATCTTATAATTAAAGGGATCATTTGTGTATTTCATCTAAATAGTTTTTTAAATTTATAAAAAAAAATCACTTTTTTTTAGGCATAGTTTAATGATCATTTATAATTTATTAAAAAGAGGTTGACAAGTTAAATGTTGATAATAAATATATCAAAATAAATTATCATAACCATACTTAAATTACAATTGTTAAAAGTTAAAACTCTATCAAAATCGGATTTTTGTACTGTTGTTGACGAAGAACTCCATTTGTAAGTATTCTGTCTGCAAATCTAGACATCCTTTCTGCGAACTTTACACCTCAAATTACTTCTTTAAATTAATAAAATATTTAGTTCTTAATAAGTATACATTTTATCTTAATTTTAAATAAACTTGAACTTTTATGTTTATAAAGTTGAAGAATTTGTATTTAAATTAAAAAAATTAAAAAATCCTTAATATGCTCTTTTCCAATATATATTTTTTCTTCATGTTTCTCACTTGAAAACACTAGTATGTTTTTATCAAATCCGTTTGATGTTTTTATTAATAAGTGGCAATTTTATTCTTCGATGGTTTCACTAATTCAATACAATTTGTTGTTATTTAACTGTGGTGAATATCAACAAGTAGTAGTTGTTTTGGGGGGTAACAGATGAGCTGCTGCCTGCTAGGAGTAATTGGTTAAATCATACCTATTACAACATAATCTTAGGTTATATGTAGAGAACGAAAAAAGAAATTTAATAAAAAGGATTGAACATTTTAGAGAAATTAATTGAATTGTGGGTGAGAGAGAGAAAGCATTTAGAAGTAACTGAACTTTCTATTCTTCCAATAATAGAAAGAAGAAAATAAATAAATAAATAATGGTGTGGGGAAGCCAAATTAATGGTGTGGTTCAGAAATATTCAATGAAAATAAAGGCTGCTTAGCTTCTTGTCCGTCGTATACCTTTCTTTTCCTTCCTTCTTCTCAACAGATTAATTACACATTACTTCCTCAAATTTCATTAATTTATATTTTGCACCAAACCTTTATAATTGATCGGGACTCTTAGTTGTGCTGACAATCTAAGTAAAAACAAAGTTTTTTTTAATAGTCTGATATTATTATAATATAGTATCTATTTAGATATTTTTTTAATTACTAATATTTGATAATATAGACAAATCCTATAAATACACCCGTTCGAATTGGATCATAAAAAAATATTTCTTTTAATTGTATAAAAATATTTAAATTATATCCGTCTGTCAACTCTCTTTTTGTGTAACCCCCTAGACCCAGTCTATGCGTTTCGACTAAGTCTAGCGGATCAAATCCATGATTTTTAAAGACATTTTCCGAAACCCTTATTCGATCAATATAAAATCACATTATAAATACATTTATAAAAGGATATAATAAATTACGATAAAACCTAACTCATGAATATAAAACTAAATAGTTAAAAATTTAATTTTTAAAATATGTCGTAGAATTTGGATCACTATAAACCAATTATCAATAGCAGAATAATATTCATTTCTGAAACAAATACTTCAAATAAAGGCTCATGTTACCAAAATAAAGTCAACTTGAAATATAAAAGCATTACAAATAGATGTACTTCAAGATATATGTTGATTCTCCAAGTACTCGATCTGGGGTATCTAACCAATAGTATCTGAAAGGGGAAAAATATTTTCGAAAAGTGAGCTAGACTCAGTGTGTCCCAATAGTACAATAAAATCATAGTAGGTACAATAACCGAGTAATAGTTCAGTAAATCATCATAAAATCATAATGAAGTTTAACTTTTGAAACTCGTAGTTTAAATCTCTTCTCCTGTACACCAACAGCAGTTCCCTAGAATTGCATCCGTAGGACTACCTTAAACACACAACAAAAAGGAAGTCTGCCTAAGGATAAGCTTTTGGGCCTGAATCCTTAGGTACATAGGGCTTACTCTAAGCTCACAGCAAAGAGGGCCAACCTAAGAGAGCATCTTGGGGCTCGTGAGCCTACCCAAGAGTCCATTAAGTCCGTAAGGTTTACCAGCTTGATCAGAGCTATACCTCCGTAATTCAATCCAACCCAAAATCAGTATTTCAAAAATACTATTTATGCAGTAAGCATAATTTCCATAAATCAGTAAACATCGTTATCATATATTAATAAAAACCAGTAGTCATGTATCAGTCATTTTCCATAAACCATCAATAAACAATAAATCAAAGCTTTCAATGTACCATATTTCAAAACAGATAAAACAATTAAACAGTACTTAGGGAACACACCTCGATAATAAGATCAAATTGTAGATCTACTGAGTACTGACCTCGCGACGCTCTGCTATAGTTTTCGAACCTAATTCATAATAACACTATATTACTAGAGGGTAACATAATCAATTTTTGAAATTATAAGATTTACGGGTCATACGGGTAAATACTGGCACACGCGGTTTAACTGATCTAGAGGAGCTGGGTCGAGCTGTCGAGCGATCAAGATAGTCTCTTGTACATTCAAATAATAATAATTTATCAGTATCAAGTCTTACTTAATCATTCAAATCTAAAACTCTTAAGTACATATGCACTTTTTTGGGTTTGACTATCAATTTGGATACTTTAGCGTCTGAATTTGACTAAACAGATTGCAGAATCGGAATTAGGACGTCGAAAAACATAAAGTATGACTTTTCAAAAATTCGAAATTTTGGTCAAAGTCAAAGTCAACGGGTTTGACTGATGATTTGGAGACATTTGATTTTGAATTTGGCGAAACGGACTTCAGAAACGGATTCGACACGTCGAAAAATATCATAATAGGTATACTCGAACAAAATCAAATGTCGTTTAATGACCGTTTAAAACCGGTCAAAGAGATTCAATAGTCCACCGTTTAAAAATTAATTACAAAAATAACACCATTTTTAAAAATAAATACAAAAATAACACACTTTTAAAAATAATTACGAAAACAACACCATAACTGAAATTAATTACGTATTTATCACTCTTTTAAAACTATTTATCAGCAATCTAAACCAACACCAACTATAATATGTTTTCAATCTAAACACTGAAATATTATCCAAATTAAACGATCTGACTTTACCTACGGCGGATGAACGAAACAAGACAGTTGTTGGAATGGCCAGAATCGACAAAACTTAAAACGACGATCGGGGTTTTAAGTGTCGATTTCCCTTATATATTCAGTCTATCTGTGACAGATTTCGGAACTGGGTTAGTCGGGTTGTACCGATGGTTGCTGTTGAGACTGAAGGACACGACGGTGCACCACACCACCGATCGAAGGAGGCAGGCCGAATGTTCAAGAGTGAGTTTACTGAAAAATTCAGTTTTGGGTTCTGCACGGGAGGGTATTTTTGTAGAATTTATGTGTTAACTCCTAATATAATATAAACCCACCATTATTTATTTCCAATAAAAAAAACTAAACATGGCATAGTGGGTATGCCTCTATCTCCACTTCATTTTATTTTATTCTTAGTGCTATTATAATATTTATAATACTTATTATTTTATTTATAGTTCTTATTATTTTATCTATAGTGCTATTTGATATATATATATTTTTTCTAG